CCACCTTAGGTATAGGTGGCTGGCACCTTAGCTACTTCAGCCACAGGCGCCGAGCCCTATCACCACCTCTTTATCTCTACATAATCTTATGTCAGAGATTTAATACCCTCAGTCTCTGGGTTACTATGAAAAAGAGAGGTTCTGTAGGTTTGTTCTTAGGTTGAATTTGTATGTAAGTTGGAACAGGTATATTTACCTATATGGAAGGTAATAACTTCCTTCCTGGTAATAACTTCCATTCATAAGTGTCAACCATACATAAGTTGGATTTTTGTAACTCAGTGACTACCTGTAATTAAACTGTTTTAAAGTCCAAAGTTGTGTATAATGTTAGTTACAGTGTTCACCAGGCTTTCCCTAAACTGTTCGGAAATAACAAAATTCTCTTATTTGAGTTTCAATTTATTTTCTTTCTGCCATCTACATTTATGCCAAGACTTGGGAGATAACTTGATCAAGTAAGGTTGGGTACATCAGATTTAAGACCGCAACTAAGCTAAAGAAGTCAATGAATATTTTATTTCTAAGCAAACCAAGTGGAATACATACAGAAAGTGTTAATTAAATGGGGAGGCACAAACAATAAGATAGATTTGATTGTATGAGGAAAGGAAAAATGGGGAAAATAGGAAACAGTAGTAAGTAAACAATGAAAAATACTTAGCCTCATTAATAATTGAGGAAATACAAATTGAGACCACAATGAAACACTATTTTTTTTTTTTTACTTACTAATGTGAAAAATAAAGAAGCCCGACAATACTAAGTGATGGAAAGGATGTTAAATTAACAATAACTTTTACATATTGCTGTTGGGAGCACAGGATGGTGCAAATCCCCAGAAAACAGTTTTAGTATTATAAACTCAAACATTTATATAAGCTGCAATCCAGCAGTTCTCCTCCTACATGTATACCCTAGAACTCTCAGACATGTGCGCCTTGGAGCACGTGAAAGATATTCATAGCAGAGTTAATCGTAATGGCAAAAAACTAGAAACCGTCTAGATGCTCATTCACAGGAAAATTTAAAGATGGGTTGGGGGGGTCAACAGGGAGGAGTGCACATGTAATGGAGTGATTGGTAACGTCAAGCTCTGAAGTTGAATGGTGGGTTTGCAGGTTTTTGTCTTATTAACATAATAATTTATATGTATTACTGTATTATCCGGTATGAACTGTATAAAACATATAATAAAACAAATCTGAATAATCCCAGAGTAAATTAGTCTGTCTCAGATTAATTGAGCAATAACTTACCTGAATTACCTCATAGCCATTTAGGAGATTTGTTCCAATGTGATGACAATACCAAATCCCCAGTAAATTTAGTAAAGCATATATATATATATTCTGTGTGCATAATGCCTAGCAAATCTTCATGTTCTCCCTCATTATTCTTTTCTAATTTAACTTTTGCTGCTTTCAGTCTTTGTTTATTCTTAAATGTAATATTATCGACATTTGAGAATTAGAAAAAAGCTTATTTTTTCTTATTCTCTGCACTTAATAATTTAAAATTAATTTAATCCAAAGCAGTCTATTTTATCTCTGCTTCTCCTTCCCCAGTAAGTGATCCCAGTCAGTCATTAGACTGAGAGAGGATCCAGAGAGCAAACCAGAGGAGTTTGGACTATATTAGGCTCAGGACTTCAGGTCACATAGGATGACCCTACTGTGACTTAAATACTTAAATGGAATTTTCGGATATGAAATACTAGTACTCCAAGATCAGAATAATTTTTATGTTATTATATTTCCTTACTCTAATAAAAATTAATAGTGCTTTGTAATGCTTCTATCTATGGAGCATTTGGAAGGAGAGACTGTTCCTTAGATGCAGTTGTTAGTTTTGAACTATGGATGATTTATATCAAGAGGCTGTCATAATGTAAACTTTCATTCTTTGTGCAGGTAAAATCATCTCTATTGATACTAGTTCCCTGCGAGCTGCTGGCAGAACTGGCTGGGAAGATTTAGTGAGGAAGTGCATTTATGCTTTTTTCCAACCTCAGGGCAGAGAGCCTTCTTATGCCAGACAACTATTTCAAGAAGGTAAAGTTTCTCTCTATTGTTTTCATTAACCTTGCTCTTTATTAATACTGAAAAGTTTGTGTAGAACTTATGGCTTGATAAGTATTTTCTCCAAATTACAGTTTTTGCAATAACCAGTTTTAGGAAAGGAAGAAATGGGTAAGCGAAGTAATTTACGAGTGGATCCTAAAATTTGGGATGCACATTCTAAGGAACAGGCTGTCATGTGGTGGTCACTCATTCATTCATTCATTCATTCAGCAGACATGTATCAAGTTCCTAACATACCTAGCATACTGGGTAAGGTTCCAGGGATACAACAATGACTTAAGAAGTAGGGTTTGCCTTTAGGAGCTTATAAACACATTAGGGAAATATATGGCAACTCTGAAGATCAGTATGATGTGGGCTATAATAGAGGTGTAACCAAAGAAGAAAAAATTAGTTCTGACTGGGAAAATTAATAATGTCTTTAGAAAGGAGGTGATATTTTTGTCTGGCTCTTAAAGCTCATTCCCAGCAAAACAAGCATGTAAAAGGGCTTCTGGATAATACTGCAGTTGATCTGATGAATGTTTACGTTATAACAAAGCACTGGTAGCTCCTGACTCAGGTTGAAGTTTCAAGTCAAAAAGTATATCGTATGCAATTATTATTAAATGGCTGCTGTGTCTTAGTAGGTACTATGGGAATATTTAATGATAGGAAAGGTAGGGAAAATTATTTGAGAATTAAGCCTAAAAAGTTCACAGAGATTGAGAGTTAAAGGATTCTGATGTACTCTTAAAATATTCTAATTTAATTATGGTAGGCTAATACTCTTTTCAACTATAGTTTATTCTCTAAGTTCCAATTAGTTTCTTCAGCAAGAAGCTCTTTCTATAGCTGTTCCTGAAAAACAAATTTAAAATATTTTTCATTATTCCATCATCTTACTTTTAACATTTTCTCATGTTAGATTTCCTAAGTTTACAGAGGATCTTCCATTCATTACATTTTAGGTCAACTGCTTCCTAGTGGCATATGGAGGAAGTAGGTTGATTTTCTTTTTTTTTTTCCTGGAAGCCATCTATATAAATCTCACAGTCCTAGTTACTTCTGGGATAGCTTCCTATAGACTAATGAATCTCCAGTGGGCTCTTTACTAGATTTGCCGCTCCTAATAATGTATTTCACTGGGTAGAGCCAAGAATCTGAATTTTTAGAAAAAGTGTCCCAGGCAATTTTGAAATGCAGCCAGGTTGGAAATCATTACAGTAATCAACTGATGCCACTGAACATAAACTTTGTGACTTCCTCTACCAAGAGTGGCAGTTGACTTGTGCATAGATTTGGGATTCAGACTATTGTCTCCATTCACTGCCTAAAGTTCCAAAGCATACGGTACCATTTGATTTTTCTTTGTCTTAACTTTTTAAGGCTTTACTTAAAAACTTAAGCTTATTTGCCTGCACTTTATAGACATTTTCACCAAGGCAAGCAGATCTAGATTATTGTCTCACTGTCCAAGTGACTAGGCTTCCCATAGATGTGATTAAGCCACGTGTTTCTAAACCTTGGTTAGAATTCCCCATAAAATAGATTGATTAGAGTATAACAACTAGCCTGTCATTAATACATAGAATGAAACAATTTAGAATAAAATGTAAAGCAATATAAGCATAATCTAGTTTCTCTATCCAGTTGGTCATTTCTTAATGTTCTCTTCATCTACTTTTTTAGAAAAAACAAATCCTTATCAATAGAAATAAGTTATATTTTTCCCAGAATTAAGTTATCCAGAGTCCACATGACTTGACTTTAGTGTTTTGGAGATCTGGACAACTTGCCAAACATCTTTAATTGAGCACGCATTTTTCTAGTATGTTATAATATATTCAGTAGTAGCTAATAAGAAAAATGTCCATGAAACACTTAGATGAGAATCACCTGTTAAAGATGTTGACCTGATGAATTGAAATCTCTGATGAGGGCCCAGATAGCTTAAGAAACCTTGAAGATAATGCGTAAGTTTGAGAACCACTGGTCAATTAAGATTGGAAAGAGTTATAATTTGAATTTGCTATTTCCTTGCTGCCTCTTCACTTAGGGACAGTGTGAATAGAGTGAAACAAATTCTACCACTGCATCCTTGATTGTGTGTAAAACTTTACAGTGATTGCTATTTAGGCAAGAAGAATTTGTTCCCCATCTGTTGTTTTTTCTGCCCATTAACTTACTCTTTGAAGGAGGCAGCTGGTATGAAATCCTAATATGCATTAAAAATTTTAGTTCTTAATTTTTTGGCTGCTTTTGACAGAAACAACTTGTGCACTGCTTTTAACTATTTTATCTTCCAGAATCAAATTTGAAAATACATTTCAGTGAAAGAATATGTGGGAATACTCAGCATGGACCGGATTAAAGTTACACTGAGATTGGGAGGAAATGGGTATTAGGATCACTTAAGGAGCTTCTTAAACTAGGAGAAGGTCCATGCGACTGTATGTAGTTTAGTAAAGGTTTTGTTTAATTCAGAACCGTTACTTTAAGGAAAACCTAAGGTTATAAGGTCCCTGATAAGATAGATTCATCTGGGACAATTGTTAAACCAGCGTTCTGGACCCTACTCCACACTACTGAATCAGAGTCTGGAGTCTAAGATGTTTTCTTATAGTGAAATTTGTAAAACATAAACCTAGATTCTAGAAGATAATAATAGATATAATAGGAAATCATGTTTCATGTTTAATTAGGTTTGGGAAATCTTTAGTCTCCTATTTGGGAGGATTTATAAAGACACATTGAAGGTATTTGAGTTTCTGGGAAGTTTTGTGATAAAAACTTTGTTACCCAAACTTTTTCCTGGAGCACATCAATCAGCAGTTAGAGTAGTTGTCATAAGAAATGTTGGGTTATAGATCCTATAAATTAATTTTTTGAAAGTTCTGTTTACCTGTACATAGTGATATAATGGATCAGCATTTCCTGCCTTTGAAATGGCTATGATGTATTATCATATTAAAAAGTGGGATAAAAAAGCATAGCATATGTAGTGTGAGCTCACTCTTGTATATCTTTCTACTTTCCAATTGTAGAAAATTAACAAAATGTTAATAGTGGTGGCCAGCTCTGTGTGATAGAATTACTAATGACTTTATCTTTACCTGTTTTGTTTCTTTGTTAACTCTGTAATCACTAAATAAAGCTATTTTCATTTTTAAAAAAATATCATGAGTAAGAGTTTGAAGGAGATTAATAGTATTAGAAAGTTTGAAAATATTGCTAAGGAACAGAAATACACATTCATGATTAATCAGAATTTTCTTTGAGACTTGTATAATACAGTTAATTCCAAGGTCCACATAATAGTTAACTGAAAATAATTTTATGTCAAACTCTCCTGAAAATATTTAAAATCTGAGTTTACTGTCCTCTTACAGAAATTTTGATACACTAAATAGAATAACTCATTGGTGATTGAAAATCTTAGAACATACAAGGTTAATTTTTTTTTCTGTATCTAATAGCAATTTTGTAAATTGCAATTTTTACACATATTTAGGTAAATACTGAAAGAAAAAGAAATCTCTACCAACACTGACCCATCATACCATACATTTCATATATTTAGTTACCATCAGTAAGGCATGTTACCAAATTGAGAGCTATTAAAATACCAAATAGCTCTATTTCTACACCTGCTATAACATGGGAAAACTTAATGTTTCCTTTGTTTTGTATCTTTTGAAGTCTATTCTAGAGAGAAAACAAAACAAAACAAAAAACCCCAGTGTCATGTTAAAGGTTCTTGGGAGAGTTTCTGAGATGTCAGTAATACTCCTTTTAATACTATCACTCCCTACTAAATGCTCTGTAAAGTTTAGAAATACTTACTGGAGTCAGAGTTAAAATACTAGCTGTATAGTATAGTATCCGGCAAAACTAGACCAGAAAAGGGTGGAGATCAAAATGGGATTTCAAAAGTAAACCTTGAAACCCACTTAAAGTAAAAATATGGCATGTAGAGCAAATCTTTTATCAAACCAATTCTGTAAAGAATTGTGGCTGCCTCATGTCTCACTCAATTCAGGATATTAGTGATATATAGGATTGACGCTAATGGCATAAATGGTGTCCAGAGAGTGACTAAATGTGTTTATGACTTGGGATGTATATACTTTAGAACCTGCTTATTTGTTGTTTTGAAACAAATGTTCATTTGATCCCTGCTGTATACAAGGTTCCATAAGAGACATTATCTCACAATATTACTGGCTCCATTTTTGTGATGAAGAAACTTAAGATGGGTGAGGGTGAATTTGTATTAAGTCCTAAATTTATAAATGGCAAGGTCATAAGTCAAGCCTGAATCTGACTCTTAAGCTCTTATCCTTTTGTTAATCTGTGCTGCCTTCCTATTTATTTCCTTATCTGAATAATTAAGGACCAGAATTTTAGTTAATTGGAGGGTCTTATTGAATTCTAATTAATTGACATTTTACCAAATTAAATATTGCCTTTTTCTCATTTCAAAAAATGGCTGTGTGAATTATAATGTGCTGAGTCTTACTCCATAAATTCTCATTCAAAATAATCTAACTTCAAAACTTAAAGTGTAATTTCCTTGTATTAATAGGGTTCCCCAAATTCAGGAATTTTTCCTAGTTTAGATAGCAGTTTTACCAGTTTAGGCAGCATAATTAACATAAAACTATTGATGTTTCTGTTATCTACATAAAATATCTTAATGTTCTCATGTTAGCCTAAGTTTCTAGTTCTTTCTCACTTTTTAGCGCTTGTCAATAGATCAAGATTATTTCTCATTAATTTCCATTACAGAATTAAGTCTAGATCCCTACAAGAGCATAAGAATAAATTGGAATATAACATTAAGTATTTAAGAACATAGCTAAGATTGAAAATCTGTCCTATAGTAAATAAAAGTTATGACAGTTGATCACATGTCATTATCAGTCTAATTAGATGAGATTCAAGTTGAAGATTTTTATCGCAAAGCGTAGTTCAAGATTCAGTGGATAGTGGAAAATAAGAATAGGACACAATACCAGCCCTTATGTTTATTCTAGCTAAAGAAGGAAAGTGAATGTCTAAAAGTTATGTAGCAATATAATTTATTCAAAGCAATATAAAAAGTAATGAGAAATAAGGTTGAAAATGTAAGTCAAAATATACTGCTGTGCTGTTCAGTATGGTAGCTACTAATCACATATGGCAGTGGAGTACTTGAAATGTGGTTAGTGTGTCTGATGAGCTGAATTTGAAGATTTATTTAATTTTAAATTTAAATTGCCACATGTAGCTGGTGGCTACCATATTAGACAGTACAGCTCTGTAGTGAAGACTCAGTGACTGTTACCAGCAGAATGAGGTGATCCTGAAGGACAATAAACAGTGATGGAGAAATGGATAAAAGGGCAAAAGCAAAATAATGGGAAATAACTGTCTGTCTTGTCTAGCCCTTTATATGTCCTTAGGTTTATTATTCCTTGGGTTAATTGTTAATTTCAAATGCCACCCTTTTGTTGGAGTTCTATTTTCCAAATATATTGTTAAAGAGATATTAACAGTTGAGATTGTTAATGCATTTTTAGAATTTGCTATAGCAAACATTTACTTATATCCTTTCACAAAAAATTACCAGGGTCAGTTAAAGGCTCTTTTTCATCCTTTATTGTTTCATTAGATACTAAATTTCTCCATTCATTCTATTTGGTAAATGTGCCAATGATTTAGCTGCGGTTGTCACATGGGTGTGGTAGGTTAGTTAATTAGTTTGACATAAGTATTAATCCTTTCAATTAATTTTATATCCCGATTTTGGTCCTTTGGCAGATTTATTATGGTACAGATTTATAACTTTTCAGTTGATGATATATACCCAAGACAACAAGATAGAACATGTCTTCTCTTTGCTTCAAGTAATATGTATCTTCAAAAATCATTTATTGACTCGGTGCCCATAGCTCAGTGGTTAGGATGCCGGCCACACACACCAGGGCCAGCAAACGGGGCCAGGGCCTGCTAAACAACAGTGACAACAATAACAAAACAGTAGCCAGGTGTTGTGCCAGGCACCTGTAGTTCCAGCTACTAGGAGCCTGAGGCAAGAGAATCGCTTAAGCCCAAGAGTTGCTGTGAGCTGTGATGCCATGGCATTCTACCAAGGGTGATATAGTAAGACTGTCTCAAAAGAAAAAATTATTTATTAATAATTCATTTGAAATTTTGTTCACATTTCCTTTAAAATGTAATTGAAGCCCTTTCTGAAATGTTTTTGAAAACTAGGACTAACATTTATTATAGGCTAAATTATAATAGTCGTTTATGATAGTAATTCTTGTGTTTAAATGGAGATGATTATTAACCTTTATAGCTGAATCTACCTATTAAATCTTTCTTAAAATAGATTTCTATTGTATTACTAAAGCTACTGATATTTTATTATTCAATAGTCTGGTATAGCCTTTACATATTTAATAAACATGTTTAGAATTTTGTCTGCTGTTAATAAAGCTTTAAGACAAAAGTAAATTATGTTGTTTATAAAGCAATTTGGCTATCTTAAGCTAGTTTTTCTTTATATTAATCATTGGCTTTATCTTAATTTGTTTACTAAATCTAAAAAGTTCAAACATTAAAATAATATATATTAATATAATAATTCATCAAATGGGACCTTAGTGACTCATCTTCCTCAATGTAAAATTAAATTTTAATATTACCTAAGAAACTCTACAAGCCAGTCAGAACTTAGAGAGTGAATTTCATAGTATGTGAATTGTATCTCAATAGAGATGTTACTAAAAAAATCAGCCAGGAAAAGAAAAAAATAAACAAAATAAAACTTATTAAAGATAATTCTGAGAGTAAGAGGAAAAAAGTACTTCCCAGTATTTTTAATGGAGACCTAATGGATTTGAAGTGTTGCCCCATTGTAGAGAAAGATTAAAGTTGATATTTTCCTGGTGTTTCTTCATAATTATAATTTATGCGAGGAAGCACCCATTCAATAGAACTAAATTAAAATCTGTCTTCAAGCGGTGTATTTCATCTGGAATCATTTTTCCCCCTCAGATAATCTGCTTTGTCCGAACTATTCTTTATTCTGAGATTAAGAATAAAGCAGCAGTTGGGAGGGCATTTGAAATAAAGTTCTAGGTAAAAGGAAGGTCTGGTGACTCCTTGCCCAACGTACAAGTGTCCGAATTTTAACTAGGTTTCTCTTTTGTTTGAAACAGTGATGACTCGTGGCACTGCCTCCAGCCCATCCTATAGATTCATATTGAATGATGGGACAATGCTTAGCGCCCACACCAAGTGTAAACTTTGCTACCCTCAAAGTCCAGACATGCAACCTTTCATCATGGGAATTCATATCATCGACAGGTACTACTTATTTGGAGAGCTTCTTATGAAATAAGTCAGTTCACATATCTCTTTTTAGAGAAACGTTTTGTGCTCTTGGTGGCTAGAAATCAGAAGTTCTAAATCAGGCATGAAACTAGTATGAAGAGTATATAATTAATACATATTTCCATATTGGGTTTTATAGTTTTGTAATCTAACAGCTTTGTTGTTCATAAAGGGAAGCAGGAAAGTTGAAGCTGAAAGTTTGTGTTTTAGGGGATAAAGCCAAAAAGGTGGCTAAAACTTTGTAAGTTTCCATATATGCATCTTATAAAAGACTTCAAAGTTTGTTAACATTATCATCATCATCATCATTATTATTATTATTATTGAAAGTGTTTTATTTTCATTAGGACAAACTTGATGGCTTCTGAATTCATGTTGACAATTTCTCATAGAAACTACAAATTGTTACAGTATCAACTTGAGATTTTTGAATGTCATTGCCTCTAATTCTTTTCCCTCTCTGAATATATTTTATACTAGTATACATAGTAAATTCATGGGACTATTCTTTAATCTTATGCCTTATTCAAAATTGCACATTTACAGCTGTTTAAACTTGAACATTAAAAACAAAAACATTTTCCCTCACTTCATCTTCTCCTCATCTGATATATTTACTTATTGGAACATGGTAATGCCAGTCACAAATCTATTGTCATGATTATGAATTTGAGCAAAGAGCTCACCAAAAACCTGAATTCAGCGTTCAGTTTTTTTCTAATTTTAGTATAAATTATGCTTGTGAGTGGAATTAGCACAGTTCTTTTTTTCATATTGTGATTTCCCTTTTAAAACATCTACTATGTCTGCATATCACACTTTTTAATTTTTACATCAGTGACAACAGTATTTTCCTTACCCAGTCTTCCTTTTTGGAGTTGAAATACTTAAAAGCTGTAACAGGGGAGTCATGAATAAGTGCTTTATAAACAGAGGTGTGGGAAGTTTCTTTTTCAACCAAAGGTATTATTATGTTGTTTGTATTCAGTTTAGAAAAACTTAAAAGAGGGGCAGCACCTGTGGCTCAGTGGGTAGGGTGCTGGCCCCATATACCGAGGGTGGTGGATTCAAACCCGGCCTCAGCCAAATTGCAACAAAATAAAAAAAGAAGAAAAACTTAAAAGTGTATATATTAGATTTTTTCCCAAGACCAAGAAGGATTTCTTTCACATATACCTGAGACCATTATTAAATTTAAGAGTCCATAAGCACTATTTCTTTTTAAACTGTGCTAATATTTCACAGTAGTACTAATAGTCCAGTGTTTTTCCTTAATTTAAGGTAATGAAGTTAATAGTCTTGTTTTATAATATATATCATAAAAAATATATTTTAATTCAAACAAATGAAGATGTCTGAATAACATCTTTTTTCCCCTTAGGGAACACAGTGGACTTTCTCCTCAAGATGACACTAATTCTGGAATGACAATACCCCGAGTAAACCCCTCAGTCAATCCTAATATCTCTCCAGCTCATGGTGTGGCTCGTCCAGCCACATTGCCACCATCCAACAACAGCATGGTATCCACCAGGGTAAACCGCCAACAGAGCTCAGACCTTCATAGCAGCGCTCACAGTAATTCTGGCAACAGTCAAGGGAATTTCGGATGCTCACCTGGAAATCAGATTGTAGCCAATGTTGCCTTAAATCAAGGACAGGCCAGTTCCCAGAGCAGTAATCCCTCTTTAAACCTCAGTAATTCTCCAATGGAAGGTACAGGAATGTCCCTAGCACAGTTCATGTCTCCAAGGAGACAGGTTACTTCTGGATTAGCAGCAAGGCCCAGGATGCCAAACAGTTCATTCCCTCCTAATATTTCGACATTAAGCTCTCCTGTTGGCATGACAAGTAGTGCCTGTAATACTAGTAACCGATCTTATTCAAACATCCCAGTAACATCTTTACAGGGTATGAATGAAGGACCCAATAATTCTGTTGGCTTCTCTGCTAGTTCTCCAGTCCTCAGGCAGATGAGCTCGCAGAATTCACCAGGCAGATTAAATATACAACCAGCAAAAGCTGAGTCCAAAGATAACAAAGAGATTGCATCCATTTTAAATGAAATGATTCAATCTGACAACAGCTCTAGTGATGGCAAACCTCTGGATTCAGGGCTTCTGCATAACAATGACAGACTGTCAGATGGAGACAGTAAATACTCTCAAACCAGTCACAAACTAGTGCAGCTTTTGACGACAACTGCCGAACAGCAGTTACGACATGCGGATATAGACACAAGTTGCAAAGACGTGTTGTCTTGCACAGGCACTTCCAACTCTGCCTCTGCTAACTCTTCAGGAGGTTCTTGCCCTTCTTCTCATAGCTCACTGACAGAGAGGCATAAAATTCTGCACCGGCTTTTACAGGAGGGTAGCCCCTCAGATATCACCACTTTGTCTGTCGAGCCTGATAAAAAGGACAGTGCATCTACTTCTGTGTCCGTAACTGGACAGGTACAAGGGAACTCCAGTATAAAACTAGAACTGGATGCTTCAAAGAAAAAAGAATCAAAGGACCATCAGCTCCTACGCTACCTTTTAGATAAAGATGAGAAAGATTTAAGATCAACTCCAAACCTGAGCCTGGATGATGTAAAGGTAAAAGTGGAAAAGAAAGAACAGATGGATCCTTGCAACACAAACCCAACCCCAATGACCAAACCTGCTCCTGAGGAAATTAAACTGGAGTCCCAAAGCCAGGTCAGTAATTCCTTGCTTCACAGAACGATTGTTCATAGTTATTTCTTCTTTTTCATCTATTCTACTCTAGCCATAGATTAGGATTCATGTAATGTTTTATCCTATCCAATGAGTATATATTAAGAGGTTAGCAGCAATAGTTGAAAAGTCACAAGATGCCCTAAAAAGTTCTTTTTTAAAACTTCAGAGGGTTACAGTGTTAATGCAGCATTCAAAAAAAGTAGATTTTTCTTTCTGTCTATACAATCAGAGCTCACATCTTCAGAGACTTTTAATAGTACCTTCCCTGCCCCCTTCGCCCAGTCCTACCTATTGAGTCTAACTCCATGTGAATAGAATCTAGGAATCTGTATTTTAAAGATGCTCCCTAGAGCACTCTGATGTGTAGCTATGTTTGGGAACCTGCGATGTAACCTAATGGGAGAGAAATATGAAGAGGTGGACAAAACTACCTAGTCTAGCTTGCTTTTTATTTCTATTAAAGCATTTTCTAAAGCTGTTTTCCTTTTCATCTGATTCTAACCACCCTCAACCATCATCAGAGAATAGGAACTTGAATATTCTGGGTAATAGAATATTATTACCCTTTTTTAAATGCCCTGAGACAGAAGTACATAAAAATCTTTCCGTAAATTATTATCTATTAGGAACCTCTGTGTTTAGGATGGGGTGAGGGTGGAGTGAAAATTAATAAGCCCATTCTTTTATTGAAAAATTGCTTGTAGACTCTGAAGGAATCTAAGAAAATTAAAATATTGGGCCCTTTCTCTCTAAGAGCTTTCACATCATTTATGGACAAAATATAGACATTCGTGAAATAGCTGTCGGTGTTCTTACAAAGTAGTTTATCCCCAAGACTCCATTGTGATGAAAGATTCACACTTAGTATGCATAGGTCCTTTAGTTTCTTGAACCAGCTTGATTTTCTGACCTCATCTCATGGAAATCTCTCTCTTCCCTCAGGCATACTGCATTCTAGGCACATGGAAATCCTTGCCATTCCTGAGATAAGCCATGTCTCTTCTAAGCATCTTCTGCCTTGTTCTTCTTTTTCTGTGCCTGCTGAACTTCTACTCATCTTCACAAACCAATTCAGACAACATCTTTATAAAGCCTTCTCCATGTAGCACTAGTTAGACATTTTCTTCCTCTCTATTTCTAGCGCTTTTGTATTTCCTTTTATTACAATTTGTAGTAACACTATTTTGACTGGTTCTTTTGTATGTGTGCTCTTTGAGGATAAGGCTGTGTCTCATGTTTTTTGTTACAATGAAACTAATATTTTTTTAGCGGAAAAATAGCTTTAAATAATAAATATATTAAAACTCTCACTCTTTAAAATTAACTTTACAAGTAACAGCTTTATAAAATAATGCCATTGTGTACAGTCCTGGTATTTCTGTTTCATGCACATGTGCATGCATTTCTGCTGAAGTAGACCTAGGGGTAGAATGGCAGGATCGTAAGATACGCATATGTGTAGGAGGTGATGCCAGTTTTCCTAGTGCTAATACTTAGTACTATCAGTTTTTTTTTTTACCTTTTAGCCATTCTGGGATGTGCGTAGTAGTATTTTATACTTTTAATTTGCATTTCCCTGATAAATGTTCATTAGTCATTTAGATGTAATCTTTTGTAAATTGTCTAGTCTGATCTCTTGCTGATTTTTTAAATGAATTGTTTTTGTTTATTGAGTTATAAGAGTTCTTTATGTATTCAGGATATGGTTATATATTTGCAGATATCTTCACCATGCAGTGGCTTGTCTTTTCTTTCTTTTAATGATGCTTTTTGATGAAGTAAAGTTTTCTGTTTTATATTTTTTAGTCTTTTCCATTATGGTTACTACTTTTTGCACATGTGTAATGAAAAACATGTTCAGCAATGTTCATGACAATGTTCATTTGTATTAGCCCAAACCTGGAAACAACCCCAAAATCCATCACATAATTTTGACATATTCATACAATGGGTTACTATTCAGCAATAAAATGAATGAATAACTACTACATGTGACAGTATGTCTGAATCTCAGAAACATAATTTTAAAAGAAATCAGACACTTAAAATAATACATGCATATAATTCTATTTACATATCTAGAAACAAAAATTTTACTTGAATTAAATAATGAAACCCAAACAGCCATTTCATGTTGATTATCTAAAGTAAATATAATGTAGTAATATTATGAAATGAAGCCCAATTTTCTTCTTCTATATATAACTTCAGACAAATGTAGGAACTTCCTACCTATTCTAGAAGATATGTTTCGTTTTGTTGTTGTTGTTGTTTTTGAGACAGAGTCTCACTATGTCACCCTTGGTAGAGTGCCATGGTCTCACAAACCACAACAACTTCAAACTTTTGGGCTTAAGCGATTCTCTTGCCTCAGCCTCCTGAGTAGCTGGGACTACAGGCACCTGCCACAATGCCCAGCTATTTTTTGGTTGAAATTACCCTTGTTATTTTAGCAGGCCCAGGCCAGGCTCAAACCTGCCAGTTTCGGTGTATGTGGCTGGTGCTCTACTCACTAAGCTATGGGTGCCGAGCCAAGATATGTTACTTAATAATATTAAATCTTAAAGTCAGGAGTGGCCTTTCTGACATCTTATTAAAAAATGTTTCCCAAACTTTAAAAAATCATTTTTAAAAGTTATGTCAATATAAATTTAAATTAAGTCATTGTATATAAAATTTTGAAAAATATGACAGTAAAAAAATTACCCATAATGTCATCAAGACACTTTTGACAGTGCTCTTGACACTTTTTTTCCTGTCCAGTCATTTTTCTATACATGATTGTATACTGAGATAAACAAGATAAATATCATTTTCTTGTATCCTATGCCATATTAATAAGCACTGAATATTTTTCCCCAGTGGAATAGTTAGCTCATGTAATTTCAAAGAAGCCCCAATCATTCTAATTATTTTCTTTCTTCTCTCATAGTCGCACTTAATTCATAAAATTTATTTGTTTTTTTAATTCATAACATTTAAAGGAAAGATTTTTTTTCTACATTTGTTTCAGATGAAAGTGTAGAATATATTTCCTCTAACTTTGGTTTCTATTCTTAGTTTTCAGCTGACCTTGACCAGTTTGATCAGTTACTGCCCACTCTGGAGAAGGCAGCACAGTTGCCAGGCTTATGTGAGACAGACAGGATGGATGGTGCAGTCACCAACGTAGCCATCAAATCAGAGATCCTGCCAACTTCACTACAGTCCACCACTGCCAGACCCACTTCCAGGCTAAATAGTATGTGTTCGGGACAACACCTCATTTTAAATGTTCAGTGGTAATGTGAATTGGAACTTTGTCTCTCACCATTTTTACGTAGACCTTTTGCTTTAATTTAGAATGAAATGTCTTTTCATTGTTGCCATTACAGACAAATATAACCAGTTATATTTAGACACATAAACTTCATTCATCTATGTATTTGAAATCGCAGCATGACCTATATATCCTTTCTTAATGTTCAGGTGAGCCGTTGATACCAAGGAGAGCAAGTTTGTGTTCTTACCCAAAACGTACCTGACTGGACTTTCAGAATTCTAATATTGTGTCAGATTATGTTTCCCAAAGTGGTTTCCTTGAACACTAGTCCTGTGAGTTACAAAAATACTAAAATACACTAAAATACTAGTGCTAAATAGTACTAAAATACACTGGGAAGTACCATATATTCCATATTCCTCCTCTGAAGTTTTCACAATGCCTTGTATTAAAGAAACTTACTGCGATTTCTTTAACCTAACATTTCCCAAACTTTCTTGATTATGGAATTCCTTTTCTCAAGTAAGACATAAACTAAACTCACAGAATGAGTTTTCCATGACCTACTATTTAGGAGACAACTGTGTTAAAATATGTTATTATTATTCTAACCCAGGTTAGCATTTTCCTATTTAAGAGACATTTAGATAATATAATACTGCAAGTTCATAAAGATAAGACTGTCAGATTCTTTCATCCATCAAATTTTGATGTTGGGGGAAAAACAGTAGTAATAATTCTGTTATGTGACCTTGAAACTAAAGGAAACTAACCAGTTCACTTTTAAAACTTATCTAGGTTTTAGACTTTACTCTGTCTCTCTTCTTAGGGGATCAGACGTGGGACTACATTTATTTCAATCTTAGCTTATTTCTGTCATGAGCTTTTAGCTGTCATGACCCAATTCCTAAAAGTTTACCAACATTTCCAGACACCTGCAAAGACAAATCTGAGTCATCTGTGACATTTTTGGAAACAATATTTTGGCTGACCAGAATGCTAGAGGAGGAGTCAGCAGCCTAGATTCAAGTCTCATATTCTCTATTTATTAGTAGTGTTAACTCAAGGACTTTATTCTCTTTATCTGCAATATAAGAATTAGATGAAATGATTTTTGAATTTCTTCTAATTAAAACTGAGAGGCTTCAGACTCTAGGATATTAGGCACAGTTAGGGAAACAGAGACAAGGGTGGAAAGAGATAAAATGAAAGTCAGGAACCACATGCAGTGGTTCACCCCTTCTACTTGGGAGGCTGAGGTGGGAGGATCACTTGAGGCCAGGAGTTTGAGAATAGCCTGGGCGACATAGTGAGGCCCATCTGTAACAAAAAGAAAAAAAAAAAAAGAATGTGTATTGATTGGTTTGTGTCCTTTTCCCCTTTCTCATTCAATATGAGAGACTGGATGAGTTTTCTCAGGGGATGCTGACTGGCCCCAAAGATGTCTAAATATGAGAATATGTAGTTTCTACCTGATCTCCCCTGTTAGTCTGAGCGCTTCCCCCTCTCTCCACTAAGTGGTTGGTTGAGCAAAAGCCATTCTGCCACCTAATCATCCACCAGTGAAGGCCAGCAGCAGAGACAAGCCTCCCACTCAGCCCTCCCACTCAGTGTCTTAAAACACTGACTTAATAGACACAAGCAGGATCATCAGTACTTTGAGCAAAGTCTGTAACTGGAAAGAGAGCAAACGAAACAAAAGGAGTATGCAATGGAAATGCATAAACAGTGCATGGACCAAGGGAAAAAACTGCTAGAAATTTTAGAAAGATAAAGACACATTATCCATGAATAATATGGGAAGGAAAAAAGAACATAAAACAGAAAATGGTCTTAGAAATAAGAAATCCAAAATAAATTTTAGGGGAAATATGAAAGGATAAATCTAAGAAAAGCTCTCAGGAAAAAAAAAAGAATGAAAAGACAAATGGAAAGTAGGGAACAAAAAGTTAAGGGAATTCCAAGATATACCTCAGAGGACCAATAATTGATTAATAAGAATCTCAGTAACAAACAACAATGGGAATGGATAGGAAGATATTATCAAACAAAATAAGTAAGAGAACTTTCTGGAACTAACTAAAGTATATGATTCTGCAGATTGAAATGGTTCAATAGGTACCCAACACAAGTGAAAAAAAATTACTTGTACCAAAGCTTGTCAGTTTATCAGTCTGGAACATTAGAGGTAAAGAAAATATTCTAAAACCTGCGGAGAGAAGAAGTGAATTCTATACTGTGAATCAGGACTTTCACAGAGGTAATATTGGCACTGGAGTGTCTTGTGGTTTGAGAAGGAGGACTTACAGTTTCAACCATGACAATAATAGCTGGCATTGGATTGGCCCTCTCATTGTAAATAACTAGAAAATATCAAAATAATAGGAAAGAATTCTTGTCAAATAATAAGCAGTGTGGGACTGTGATCTCTGGTAAAAGAGAAACAAGTAAGATGAGCTCTGCAACAACCAAGCTTTTTTCTTGGAGACAGATAGGAGGAACCCAGAATGAGCCAAGTGTTTTACTAACCTGAGGAAGCAGCTGTCAGAGTTCAGTGAGACTGGACTGCTAGAACTTGCTGGACAGAGTGCCAGAGAGAAGGACATGTAATCAAAGAGCTCCAGAGGTCTGTCTAAAGTTGTTGTAAGTCTTAGACTGGATGCTACACTGCACATGATGGTTTACAGGTGGGGCACACACAGCTCATGAGGAAAGAATAACTGTCTGGAAGCTATGAACTGAACTACCTCCAGAACTCACATGAGAGTGGAAGATGTTCAAGTTCTGACCAGAGTGTGTAGACCTCCTTGAACATGTGGGACATGTAGTAGAACATTTATCAGAGGAAGCTTTATTTATCCACTCCTGCTCCTGAGAAAAGCAGGCTTACATGGACTTTTCACTTTTAGATGCTGTCATCTTGGGCTTCTGCCAGTTCTCTTGCAGTCCACTTCAGTTCATCCTGCTTCTTTTTCTCCTCTGCTGCTGTCCTCTCCGCTTCTGCCTGGGGTTCTAGGTAACTGTAGCATGCGGCTCTGTAGACCACACTAAGGAACAGAGCCGTGTAGTGGCCGAGCTTGATGAGCAGCGGGACCTGCACCTGCCCAACCATCTTGTCCCCGACCTTCCCACCAGAGGCACAACCCCCGTAAAGCCCTCACCTTAGAAGCAGGTTTGTGAGACCTTCCCAACAAATCTAAAAAACAAACCTCAAAAGCATCAAGCTGACGAACAAGTAAATTAACTATCTGAGGAATAGTATTCAGTAGTCTTTAAAAGGCACCAAAATCCAGACATTGAGCAATGTAATGTTCATAATCTTGAGCATCCAGGATATTAAAGAACACACAAAGTAGCAAGAAAATGATCCAAAACCTGTACAAAAATCAGTTAATAAAAACAGATCTAGATATGACAAAGATGTTAGGGTTAATAGAAAAAGACTTTAAAATGGCTATTATTTACATGTTTTAAAATCTAAAGGAAAATATGGACATAATCAGGAAAGAAATGTAAACTACAAAAATAAAAGTGCCAGATAAACCTGGTAGAGCTGAAATATACAGTATCTGAAATGAAAATGTCTTTGAATGGTCCTAACAGCAGATTAATCACTGCAGGAAAAAAGCAGTGAACTTGACACAGCAAGAGTAACTATTCAAACAGAAAGAAAGAAAAAGGGCCAAAAAATGGTAGAGGACCTCATTCACCTATGGGCTAATCCTGAGGAGTCTAATATCACAGAATAGTAATACTTGTAGAAGAAGAAAGATCAGAAAAAAACTTTTGCAAAAATAATGGTCACAGAATTTACAAATTTGATGAAAACTATAAACCTACAGATCTAAGAATTTTAATAAGCCCTAAGCAAAATAAACACAGAGAAAATGACTTTAAGCCATATCACAATCAAATTGCTGAAACAAAAGTCTTAAAACTCATCAGGGAAAAATGACACATATGCCAAATGAACAACGGCAAAAAAAAGTGCTGATTTTTCTATACCTAATATTACTCAAAATGATAGAAAATATATAGATTTTTGTATAAACAGCTGGCTTTCTATGTCTAGTGTCTTTCAGAAATATAATTGAAATACGGATTTTTTTTTTAAGTCAAGTGTGAAACAAAGTTTATTAAGGAAGAGAAAGATAGGTTTTACAGAGTAAGAAAGCTTACAGAACAAGATGCATTTGCCATAGCTGGTGAATGGGCCTCCACTGCCATAGCAAGTAGATAAAGAGGCCTTGAGTATGGCCAGGGGTTTTCTTTTACATTGCCTGGGTTAGGCCTATCTTATGTTTCAGATATCACCCTGGAACTAGAGTTTTACTGCCCAGTGCAGACTTCTCATGAGCCTCTCTGAGAGCCTAAGGGATCACATTGTAGATTTACGTTAATGACATGATAGTCATTGGTCTTAAGGCTGTTCTAGGTCACCTTCAGGACTCAGTAGAGTACCTATTGCTAAGCTGTAGAGTCTTCTACATCCTTTTGCAGTTGGCATGCTAAATTCTAATTGGTAGACTGGTAGGATGTGCCCTCCTCCCCAGGTGTGAGCGGTTAGGGATAAAATGAAGGGGGTGGCACCAAGATAGAGGGCTAGGGGCCTCCCCTTTGTCCTCCTTCCCATGAGAACCCCATTCCTAACTAACTACCTAACTGTTGGGGATTGGGAGTCCCAGTTTCCCAATCCCAATTCCCAATTTCCCAATTCCTGCGACTTCCTAGTTGACCTAGAGATTAAATGGAAAATTCTTTTTTCTTATTTTTTAGTTTCTTTAAATGAAAAATGGTAACTATTTGAAACAAAACTAACAGTGGATGACACAATGTGTCGAAGTATATTTGTATTTGTCATACACTTATATGACAAAAATAGCACTATAGATGTGGAATAAATGATACTATTCTGTTTTTTTTCACAATTCTGTTTTATATGAAATAGCTTAATATTTAAAGCTAGATGTGAAAAGTTA